TCGATATATCTTGGACGTGATATATATCCGTACAAGGGTATTTCAGTAATTTATATGAGACTCTATATATTGTAGCGAGAGGGTTCTTTTTAGGGTTAAGAGAAAACACAGATTTCTTTTTAATTAGAGAGAACAAAGAGGCTGAAGAAGAGAACGATTGTAACCCTATTCTTTAGTACCAGTAAATAAGCTATCATCTCCCGTGGACGTAAACACCTAGCCGAACCACATATATCTTTGCATTGTAGTTGGTTGTCTCTTTCTTTTGTGTTTGTTTCTTCTTTCTATTCTCGTGGATTGCTTTTCGTTTTCACAAGGGTTTCCCCTATGTCAAGGTGGTATAACGATAGGCTTATGGAATGACTCAAAGAAAGTGGCATAGCATAAGTAACAGGGATAAGGCAACTGAGTCAGAAAGATAGAGGCTGAGTTTAAGTAGAACTGAAAGTGGCCACTCATGGCTTGCTCCATGCTTATGTACTTGACTTGTTGGGTCTTGATTCTCCCCGAAAAGGAAGCACCTTAGGGACAAATTGGAGTGGAGAGGCTACCTCTCCCTGAGGCAAGAGTAACTTGGGCCAAACAAATATTGAAAAAAGAAAGAAATTGGTTGAATTTTAATCCAGCATCTTGAATGACTACCGAAACCATATAGCGTGTAAGAACATTGAGAGGGAAAAATTGACTAGCCGATGTTGAGAAGATTGAACCATATCTGTGAACACCTACTCATATTCAAAAGGCACTGCTTCAATTCAAGTGCAAAGTGTTATATAATATGGAAGTTCTTGGTAGGTGGGCCCACCGGTGATTCATAAGGCGAGTAGGCCCCCAACATCAGAGTTTCTAAAGGCGAACAACTCCCTCAGTCTAAATCATCATTTGCTCTTGCTGGCTAGTAATACACAGGAACATGGCGATTTCCCATATGGGTAAAGTTGTTTCATGAAGTGCTAAGAATTGTGTTTTATTTTCGATCGCACAAGGGGGTTTAGCTAGGACCAAGCATTTCCTGTCTAGGTGACCAGCCTTTACTCACTACTGCTCTAAGCTTTTTTTAGCCTGAAGGTAAGAGGGCAAAGTAGCTAGCTTTTTTGCCATTACTCGAATTGCCCCACCCTCTACCCATATTCGATGCAGGAGCCGTGTCTCATCAGGATACAGGATAACCCGCGTTCACGTGGTCCCTGTTAAAAAAGGGTCCAAATGGAGGTCCTTTTCGGGTAGCTCCTATATATTCTACAAGAAGGCTTACGTTTTTCTTCTATCGGGCGCATGATCATAATACCTGCCCTTGTTTTTCTTCTCTACGCAATGGCAATGCAATTCTCCAGAGAGTGAGTTGTTGATCACAATACCTGCCCTTGTTTGTCATGCCAGTTGACTGAACCTTTGTCAAAAGCCTTGGTGGGCGACAAGCCCCAGCCCAAAAATTACACCAGAAAATAAAATAAAAAATTAAAATTGTAATTATACTTCTAAAAAACCATAGTCGTATAGTAATCTAATGCAATCATACTTCTAAAAAACCATATTTGTAGCAATTGAATTATCCCAAAAATTGCACATAACCTATCTTCATCCCAATAGTCTATCTCAAAAAAAAATTGAATTTGTATCATAGATATGGTTAAAATGAGTTCCCTCCAACAATGAATCTAGACTGTCCATTTGGTCAAATTCAAGATCTAGGCATTTACGAACTCAAAACCATTTTTTTCTTCTTCAACATTGTTCATCTAATAATAACAAAGCTATCCAAAAATTTTGAAAGAGAAAAAAAAATCCTTCCAAGCCCTAGACCTAAGCACCTTAACAAAATGGACGGCTTATAATGCTTGGGCTAAAATAACACTTTCTAGGGCACATTTTGAAATTTTATTTTTTTGTGATTGTTCAATAGAATGACAAGAGTCATTATTTAAGAATTGGGATCAAACAAATAACACTAACATGGTTTTTGAAGGTTGTTACATTATATTACTATACAACCTTTGCATAAAGTCATTACCCCTATATATATATATATATATATAAGGGTATGATTTGTATAGAGCCGAGGCTCTAAACAATAAAATCAGAGCCCACCTTCAAATTGTGTCGGAGAATGTGGTTTCTATATTGGAAATCTTTGTGATAGCTTTAAATATATTTTCATCTTAATTATAAAATTTAAAGCTTAAAAAAGTGTAGATTGAGTAAATGTATGAAAGCTTGAAAATCTTAAAAATTGACAGTCCAAAATGTGTTACAAGATGCATTATTTCCAAAACTTGAAAAAAAAAAATTTTCCTCATGTCGATGCATCTTGATATCGAGATGATCAATTTGAGGATATTTGGGCATCAAAACAACATCTTCTAGTGAATTTTTTGAATTGCGCTTTAATTTAATTGTTCAAAACCTCGACTCTATATAAACTTTTTCCTATATATAATATTCGATAAAATATTACGCACAAATCAAGGAAATTTAAATATTATAGTATCCTCAATCCAATGAGCAGGAGCGAACAACATGACTTAAGTGCTATACGCTGTAGCAAAATAGATGAGGGGCAGTCGTGGAGAGGCGATTTGAAGAGCTAAGTTTGAGATAGCCTTGGTTCCGATAGAGCCGGCCATGAGCTCAGGCTTTGGGTTGCGGCTGTGATTGCAGTGCTTAAGGCAAACAGCTGAGCCCCGTGCTAAGTTCCATTTGATAATAGGGCTGTCGATCTCTCCCTATGCATTAGTGTTCATAAAATCGAACCGAAACGATTAACCGGACATGGACCCGATTAGGTCGGTTAGCATCTAATGTAGGCCTATTGGGTCGCGGTCGACACGCTCCTCGACGGACGTCAGGGATTTAATAAGTTCTTGACGGTTATTGAGTCCTCGTAATGGACGATAGAGATTAACAAAAAGTTCTTGATACAAATGTTGGATACCCATTCATCATAGTGTACAAGGTACTTTGCAGAAACACGTGCAGTGGGAACACGTGACTGGATATAACTCACACTAGTGGTGTGTCATTTGCTTGTTCAGCGTTTAACCATTTGGATATTTAGATGGAAAGAAGAACTCCAATCTTTTAAGGAGGTAATCATTCTCCACCATCCATCATGTATCTATAGTTGTGACGTAAATGTTACCATCAGTGTAAGGAAATATCGGACGGTTCAAATTCTAACCGCCCAATTAAACCCGGTTAAATTGGAGTCGACCACCGGTCGGTTCTGGTTTTGGTCAGTTTTAGTGAACCAGTGGGGTATTTTAACAAAAAAAAAAAGAACAAGTATATAAAATCCCAAGAAATAAGGGATTTTGTTTGTAATACATTTTTTAATGTTTTTCATCATTTTAGCAAAGATTGAAAATTATTTTTGGCCATTAATACTTATTTTTACATTTTTCATCTTTTTAAAAAATACCCTTGGGTACAAATCCATTCTTTAAAATTCATTTTCATTAACTTTCAACTTCATTTGGATGTGTTTGTTTAATCATGTTTTAAATATATTTTTCATAATTTACTAGATTTTTTTTGTATTTATTTTATTTTTTAAATACTTTTTTGACCGTCTTGGACTTGCTTGGTTAGGCCGTTTGACACTGCCGATTTACCGGTTAAGCTGGTTAAACTGCTTGCTTCCAGCCTCATGTTCGGTTAACTATTCCGAATGATTTCTACACTGGTTACCATATTAAGATACACAAGTGCTCTAGAGTTGCCATATACCGTACAGAAGCGGTGTCCGTGGTCTCGAATGGTGTATGGCATATAATATTATTATGGAAAGCTTTCTATGTTCTCCCGACAAGATAGAAGTTCTATCCTCCCTCTTATCCAACCGTCTATTTTTGAATGGAGGGCTAAGATTGCCCCAATCACAATGTCACGTCTTTACACTATTTTTTTTTTAATTTTTTTTTGTAAACTATTTTGATACCAAATTTTGGACATCAATTCATCTATTAAACTCGTACTAAGGAAAACTATATATATAAAAAAATATTTTCAATAAAATAAAATGACCAAAATACCTTTGAAAGTTTCAAGGGGTATTTTGGTCATTATGTTTTATCAAAAAATTATTGTTAATATTTTTATAGGTGCGCCCCAATGAGACGATGGCAGGTACCAAATTTCATATTCACAAAAATTATATTAAAAGAAATAAAAATAAAATACTTTAAGACGTCAAATCTAAGATCAAACGATCAGTAACTCCCTTCACAAAAACTTGAATGGCCGGATGGTAAGGGAGGATAGGAGGGAGAACATAGAAAGCCTTCCTTGTTATCATATTTTTAGTTCTTTAACTCTTGTTTAGATCGGGAGATGGACTCAAAACTGAAATTAAGGCGAGAGCAATGGGAAGGGAGGAAAGCGGTATCGGCACGTGCGGATGATGGGTGGGTGGGCCCGTGTTCTGCTCCCTGGCTCTTTGATTGGCTGCCGCATAAGAAAAGTGTGACATCAAAAGGCAAAGAGGCAGTTCGGACCGAAACTTACCCGTCTCCTCTTGTTGCCTTGTGGGAGGTGGGGACCACCTCGCAGTCGACACGTGTCAATCGGGGCTCATCTGTGTGGAATAACACGCGTCGCGTGATTGGCGGTGGGAAGAGAGAGAGGGGGTGGGGAGTGCTGAATTCCGTTTAAAAGCACCGCCCGCACCCTTTCTCCAACATTTCAAACACCTCTCTCTCTCTAACTCTCACCGTTTCCCTCTCTCTCTCTCTACTAAAGCTCAAGCCCTCTATATCTATCGCCACTATTTTAAAACTTTGATATCTATCCAGCAGCCTCTCTCTCTCTCTCACTAGGAAGTTCTCTCTCTCTCTCTCTAACATTCAACTTTGCTCTGTCTTAAATCAAACATTAGGCTCCTTCTCTCCCTCTAACAAATACCTCCTCTCGTCTCTCTCTCTCTCTACTACTACTACTTACGTTCGTCCGTTAACTTACTAACAACACACGACGTCCTCCTCCCTCCCTACCTAACTAACTACCTCTCTCTCTCTCTCTCTCTCTCTCTCTCTCTCTCTAATCTTGTAGAGATGGAGAGCACGGACTCGTCTTCGAATTCGCAGCAACCCCAGCTTCCTCCCGGATTTCGTTTCCACCCAACAGATGAAGAGCTCGTCGTTCACTACCTGAAAAAGAAGGCCTCGTCTGCCCCCCTTCCCGTTACCATAATCGCCGAAGTCGATCTCTACAAATTCGATCCCTGGGAGCTTCCTGGTACTCTACATCCTTCTTCTTCCCTCTTTACATACTTCCATTTCTCAATTATCGATTCACTTCTCCTTTCTCTAATTTCATCTCTCAATTAGTATTTGTTTTGAAAATTTTTCAGGTAAAGCCACGTTTGGGGAGCAAGAGTGGTATTTCTTTAGCCCAAGAGATCGGAAGTACCCTAATGGAGCTCGGCCCAATCGAGCCGCCACTTCTGGTTATTGGAAGGCCACAGGAACCGATAAACCAATCTTAACATCAGGTGGCACGCAAAAGGTTGGCGTGAAGAAAGCTCTTGTTTTCTATGGAGGGAGGCCACCAAAGGGCATCAAGACCAACTGGATCATGCACGAGTATAGGCTCACCGATGGCGGCAACACCAAGCCTAACAACGATCTCTCAAACAACAACAAGAAAAGCTCGCTCAGGGTCAGTCGCTTAATCCCCAATCTCTAATTTCATTCAATAATTCCAATTAATTTTACACTTTGGTGACTTGTACAAATTCGAATTTTCGCATAGCGAATAACAGCGTATTTGATTCTGGTGTTGCAGCTTGATGATTGGGTTTTATGCCGGATTTATAAGAAGAACAACCAGTCGCCGAGGCTCATGGAGAGGGAGAGAGAGGACTCAATGGACGACATGCTTGCTCCTCTCCCTTCCATGGATGGCCAGCCACATAAGCTCCCTGCGCAAAAGCCCAGCACCTTCGGTGCTCTCCTGGAGAACGAGAACTTCTTCGATGGCCTGCTCACTGACGATGGAGTCAGCAACAACATGAATTCCATGCCTCAATTGCCCTCAAGTCATCAACAAAACAGCACAAAGTCCGGTGGCGATCTCCCTCTAGCGCCGGCCGCTCTGCCATTTAAAAGGACACTTCCTTCGCCTTATTGGAATGAGGCCGCCATGCCTTTGGCCAAGAGGTTTCAGAGCAACCAGAGCACAAGCGGCAGCAACGATGGCTCCAACTCCATCGCAACGTTGCTCAATCAATTACCAGGAGCTGCTGCACCCTTCCATCACCAAGGTTTGTTGAGCTCCATCGGAGATGGGGTTTTCAGGCCACAATACCAACAGTTTTCCGGCATCAATTGGAACTCGTCGTGAAGTCTCTCCGGCGAGTTACTTGAAGGCTAAGGAAGAAAATAGCTTCTTTCAAACAGCCAACAAAAATACGACTGTAAAAAAATTTGAAAATTTGGAGGAAACAAATGGGAAACAAGAAGTGACGGGCTCTGGAGATTGTGTAGGCCGACACGTGTAAGTGGGGGACATGGGACAAGAGGTGAAAGGCTTTTCCTATATGCATATACATAGGAACACTTGGATTAACATGATTCGAGATCCCTCGGTGGTGTCGAAATTAAGGGCACGTTTGGTATGTCTGAAAATACTCGTGTAAAGGTATTTTTATATAGAAAAATTTCTTCATGTGATCAGGTGTAGGAGTTTTTTCATATCAATAGTATTAATGTATTTTTTTACACCAATTTACAACCGATTGATGTGAGAAAAGCTCTTTAGATTACGTCATAACATATTATTATGATTGATTATATTATTGTTATTATGATTGATTATATTATTGTTATTGTTATTAGTATTCTCATTATATTGTTGATATGTTATGGTTGTTTATTGGCATTTGTTTGATTCAATTTTCACTTGTGAATGGTGACCCATATCTCTATCCTTAGCTCGACCATGGCACGTGTGACGCGTGGTGTGGTAAATAGTTTGTCTCCGAGCTTGGTTAGGCTGTAAACCTCAGGAGTCTCTTTCGGTAGGGTCTGATGAAGTATCAACACCGTCCATCTAATCTAAATCACCATCTTTATTTCCAACTCAAAACTTACATCACTTGTGATGTTTGCCCTTGCAAATATCTGGCTATCAATTAACATCATCTTCAACCTAGATCCACAAATATATATAATGGCTTTCTAAAAGAAATATTGATCTTTATATACCTATGCAGGTGTGAGTGTGAGTATTTCTTCTTTTTTACTGAAATTTCTGTGTGTGTGAATATTTGTTTGATGTGAATGATGTAGGAATACGTGTGTCGTTATCATATAATAAGGAATTTTTATTTTCATTTATTTAATAATAGCTTTAGATATTTTGCTCCTACTTTACAGAATAGGCAACTCTACTTACAAATTAGAGTCTTAATAAATATGGCCTTCTTGCATATCTATCTCTTTCCTGACAAAATAGAAAACCCTTCTTTGATTTCCTCGCAAATGTGAGCTATTTTTTTTATTATTTTGATTTGTCCCATAAAGAAGACACACAGTCCAAATTTTTTATTTTTCTTTAAAGTTTTGTGTTGTTTTGGTTTCAAACAAAGTAAAATAATGATTTGAAAACAAATCATCCTTACACAATTGAGTCCTAATGAATAATTTATCTTTGCATTTATAGAATGAAGATAAGTTCTCAAATTATCTGAATTCGCTTGGTTTTCGGTAATAATAAGAATATGCTATTCGCATCTCAAAAATAAGAATATGCTATTTCTCATTTTATAATATAAGTACGAAGTTGTCATCGTTTGAAGAAAATTATTTGTGACAACTTATTCAAGAGGTCAGTGAATAATAGCAGGCATCCATGTATATAAATAATGCATTCAAGTGTGTGTATGTAAACATTTATTCGATATAGTACTTATTGGTTACTACCTTTTGTATAAACTATGAGATATGTCATTCATAGGACTTGTCGAAGGGCAGTCCCACTTCTCATACATATAGTACATACCTTTGTCTTCGTCTTGGAGGTCAAATTCAACTGGATTAGACTTACTTATATTATTGAAACTATTGGCATATGTCCTCGTTTAAGGGCAATTTAATAGCATGGGGTAGCTTCTCAAATAATAAACTAATGATGATTGAATTGAAATAGATACACACTTTTCAGAAAGCCCAACATGGTTTTGATAGTGGATTTCATTTTTGAACATTTATCATGAAAGATTGGCGATATTTATCTACTTAGGAGTGAGGGGATAGTGGATTTCATTTTTGAACATTTATCATGAAAAATTGGTGATATTTATTGAAGGTCATTATCTACTAAGGAGTGAGGGGACGTGATGGGGTATGCTAATTGACAAGAGGCTCCATCCTTGGGGGCCATCTCATTTCACACATCGCATGGAATCAAACCCTAAAAATTATTCAACACATTACTTTGGAATCCCTTTCCTTTACGAGGTAGATGACAACGTGGCTTTAGATGACATCAAATCATTTGGGCCCTCTTTGGTAACACCCCACCACCCCATCTTCAAAGATTAAAAGCACGGTTATCCTATTCTCCTTTTTAAGATGCTTCCACAACTTCTTTTAAAAGTCAATTTTTAAGGGCCCTTTTCATCCCTTTCTCTCTCTCTCTCTCTATTCCTAAGCGCCGCCCCCCTTATCCTAGTTTCAAACAAAGCACCTATACTATGCTCCCTCATGACCATATTCTACTTCTACTCCCTCCGTTAGAATACCTGCTTCCGAGGATATTCTATTCACTCTCAATTTTTAAGAACCACTTATGAATTACTAGATGATTATTCTCAAGAAATTTTTTTTAAATTTGAATTTTCCAACACTTAATTCTTACCATCTAAAACTTGGATGGTCTTGATTCAATCTTGAGACATCTTTTTTTTTTCGAGTGCATAGAGGGTACAATTCGGATTTTTTTTTTATTGAGGTTAATCGTTTTGTTGAACTTGTTACATCTCCAAAATTTGGGGTCTTAAAATTAGTTCTATGTGGTGTTTTCCTCGTGGGAGTAAATGGACATTGTACACCCGCGGGAGTGTAATATCTTTTGGATTACTTGGAGTTCAAGTGGAAGGTGCTGGTCGTTGTAATCTAGAGGTGCTATGCTAGAATATTACGAAAAGGATATGTTCAACCGGGCTCACACTCTTAAACCCACGAGAATCAGTTTTATTATTAGTTTTCCCACTTTATGCTAGTTGAAGTGGTTTCCATAAATTCATACCATTGGGTTATAATAAAAAATAGCACTTTAGTCTTTTACTTGGATTAGAATATCCACGGGCTAGGCCCGGTATCACGACCACATACTTTCACTTCATCTTTCCCAAGTTGTGATATGCTTCATTGCTCTTATGTTAATCCCATTGGGACCGTTTTTTTTTTGTGAGTAAAGTGGTATGGTAATGGGGATTTGAGCCATATCTTTTTGGTGAGAATGGAGTTAGAGACCTCACCATGGGACTCAGCAATATTATTACTGTCAAGGCCCATACTAATATCGACCCCATTTGGTGTAGGGTTCTAGTGAACCCCTTACTTGCGGAACCAGAAATCCTAAATACAGGGATCCCATCCAAGATCGTGTACTCCGTTGGCCAAATGCGAAGTAGATGAATACAACTATAAATGGAGTGCGAGAAATAAGCAAACATAAATACAAAAAAAGACACACTAAACAACAAAAGATTTACGTAGTTCACCCCATAGGGCTACATCCACGGCCTCAACAACTAGAAATCCACTATCACAATGAAGATTACAGTTTTAGGTTACCAGATATAATACATATCTCTAAACATCGGTAAAAGACCATCACCGATCTTCCCTTCTAAACCCGCTATCTTGACCGAGCAACACCGTCGATCAACATCCTCTTTCCTACTGCAATACCGCTATTGGAAAGATAACTTTGAGAACAATATCGAGATTTTCTCTCTCTAGAAGTGGAAGTTAACCAATCCAAAACTCATAAGAATACCGCCCCTCTCTCAGAGATCATGTCTCTCTCCTGGAGACTCATCTCCATATTGGAGATTCATTCCCATATTATGTCTTCCTGCACTTTTTTATAAAGATATCACTTTTTTGCTTATCAAGAAAGTCAATATTTTATTTTCTATAATACCTTAATTTTTAGAAGAAAAAATGGGCATGGTGATTTAACTATCACCAAGCCCAACAATTGGGACCTCTAAATCTCTAAACCAATACTTAGAGTACAACCTTTTGGATATTAATGAGTTTATTAATTATAACTAATACTAGTATACAGTGGTTTAAAAAACGGATCGGTGGCCCCGATCAGGCACTTCAAAAACCCATCTGGATCAATGATCCTGATCGGGAATTGGCCGAATCGCTAGGATTAAGCTGTAAAAAAATATAAAAAAATTATTAAAATTTATTATAAATGTTGTTTTTTAGGAATCCAATAACAAATCGGGGTACTATATTATTAATTTTTATTTTTTTCGTTAATATGTGAATATTGAGATATTTTTTCTCTGTATGAGCTTATTTTACCATTAAATTACATCACAAAATAAAAAAATCATCGAACTATCATGGATGAAATATATAATCATACATGGACTACAATAAAGAATGATTTTTTTATAAGAACATTTTAGTTTTTTTGACAAAAACCTTTTATTTTTTCACAAGAAATGTTTGTTGTATTACATTTCTTTTGGTTTTTAGCAAGAACCTTTTTTTTTGACAAAAAATACTTGTTGTATTTTTTTTTTTTATAAGAACTTTTTTTTTTGACAATAACTTTTTATTACTTTTTATTTTTTTGAAAAAAAAAAAGAAATTTGACAAGAAAAATAATTGATAAGAACCTTTCATTTTTTTTATAAGAAACTTTTTATTTTATTGATAAGAAAAAAATTTGACAAAAAGCAAAATTGATAAAAAAAACCTTTCATTTTTTTGATAAGAAAAAAATTTGACAAAAAGCGAAATTGATAAAAAAACCTTTCATTTTTTTCTTATGACAAAAATGCTTGTTGTATTATTATTTTTTTATAAGATTTTTTTTTTTTGACAATAACTTTTTATTACTTTGTTTTTTTTTTTTGACAAAAAAAAAGAAATTTGACAAGAAAAATAATTGATAAGAACCTTTCATTTCTTTTATAATAAAATTTTTATTTTATTGACAAGAAAAAAATTTGACAAAATGCGAAATTGATTAAAAAACCTTTCATTTTTTTGATAATAAAAAATTTTGACAAAAAGTGAAATTGATAAAAAAACCTTTTATTTTTTTTATAAGAAAAAAAATTGACCTCAACAAAATAAAATTGATAAGAAAAATAGTTGATAAAAGAACCCCCTTTCATATCCCCTTCCACATGCAGAAAGAAAGTTATAACCAGTAAGCCACATGCTACATAGTAGTATTAAAAGCGCAAACAAAATATATATTATATTAATGTTTCAAGTTAATACCTTCACATTATCCCACATCGAAGAGGTAGAAGAAAGTTGTAGTGAATAAATACCTTTTTGTAGTTAACGAGGATAACGTGTGCGAAGTGAGGAGAGTCACGTAACCAAGTGTGCGGACCTTAAGGTACATGTACTTTTTAAAATTTACAAAAATATCCATTGAAGAATCGGCAGGCCATGATGTCATGAATCGAAGAATCGAGACCATTGAAGAATCGTCGGGCCATGACGTCCCGAATCGAAGAATCGAGAGAATCATGATGTCACATAGCGATTTACG